AGATTCATGAAACAAGGATATGTTTGCACGCTGAGCTGCAGAGTTCTTTTCAGGTGGGGAGCGGGAGTAGAATGTCTAACTCCTTAGCATCAGAGCGTGTTAATATAAGGCAACTGGCAGTTGGAACAGAATTCTTTTCAGGTGGGGAGAGGGAGTAGAACTCCTTAGTATATAGAGCGTGTTAATTACTGTATAAGAAATACTAATGATCTGATGGTAATTTCAAAAAAAAAATCCTTTCTTAGTGAGCACCTAGAAGCCAAGAGGAATTTACGTACCAAATTTCAGGTTTGTAGGCTTTACGGTTCTGGCGATTTCGCGATGATGCATGAGTGGTATTTCACTTTTATATGTATAGATTCCTTCCTCCTAAGATCTCTCAGTTACAGCCTGGGCAGCTGGGTAGAAAAGGTGACTTGCAGTGGTAGCCACCCACCCTTAAAAACTCTTCCATGAAGAGATCCATCAGAGAGCCCCTTGGGCCTTAGAAGGTGGTGAAACTGATCTCAAGATGCATTTTAGAGTCCGCAGTTAAGAGGCTGATTTGCCACCAGCTGCAGAGAATCTTTGCCATCACCTCCCATCCTTACAGGATCTGCTGATTCTATTCCGTTTCTCGTTCTTTGCCCTAATGGCCCATAGAGAGAAAAGTGAGTTCATGGGCCTGTCAAGCAGAGTGTGATGTCCCGTATCTGAATATCTTCTCAATTTTGCTTTGGTTAATTACCAACCAAAGTGCATTTTCTCTCTTGAACATGGAGTGGCCAGACTTTCCACCAGTGAGTCTCCTCCCCAGTGCTACAAGATACTAAGGATTCAACCAAACCAGTCAATTTAAGCATGAGTCCTGCAGGTTTTATTCACTCTGTGACACAAAATGGAAATACAGCATAAATTCATTATATATACCACATTAACACTTCTTGTTGGAATGGAACCACACATAGGGAATACCGCCAGTGCTCTTTAGTCATCTCTAAATGTCACCCTGAAAGAATGGCTTTTATTTAGCATGGAATTTAAACAAAATAAATGCAGCAGACCCTGAAGGCACTACCGGTCTTTAGATGTACTGCATGTGACAGGCTGCTTGGCTACAGGAGACCCCTGAGAGCTCTCCCTGAAGCTCAGGGGCACTCAAATGGTGCAAAAAGGAACACAGAGACTGTTGTGGGGTGGGTGGGTGGAGGCTGCCTCTCCCTCCCAGGGACCTCTCCCATTTGGATGCCCTGTCCGTGTGCGTCACCAGTGCTTCCCTTCACAAACTTCCTCCAGGCCAGACAGAATGATCTGGGATGTTTATGTAAGACAAGAGAGGAAATCACTCCAACCCTAGTATGCAGATGGCAACTGTGGAAAAAGGGGGCATGATTCTGGGGGAGCAGCCACCCAACTCCCAGAATTCCATCAGGGAGTGAGCCCGATGCTGGGGAGGCTGAGACAACTGGTGCTCAGGATTTTAAGGATGGGCACCTGTTCAGTTAAAGTCAAGTTCCTTCATCCAACTCACCTCCTGAACACCTCTATCTTGTGGCAAGAATATAGGAGGAGTTGGTTGATGCTGCTTTCTAGCAATTCTCGTTCCACTTCAATGTCATCTGTTCCCCGGGATTTTCCTAGAGGTCTCCCATCCAAGTTCAAGCCAGGCCTAATCCTGCTTAGCTTCTGACACAGCCAAGGACAGCCAGGTGTTACCAGTACCATCTGCTGAGCAGAGACCCAAACCCCACCTGGACATACCACCTCATTTACATTAAACTGAGTCTACATTTATATATAGAGAAAAATAATATTTCAAAATCAGAAGAAACCACTTCTGGTAAGCGTAGGGAATGAACTAAAGGTATCAGATTAGCTTTGCCTTGGACAGTAAACAGGTTACTCTCCTGTAGAACAAATAATACATGACATGAATGATCCAGCCATCCTCTCCTTTCCCAATATCCATCAGATCCAAGAATAAAAATCTTGAGTTCTGACCTTTGTATTAAATTCCTTTTGTTTCCAGAGTGTAAATCTCAGTGATTTAGAACAAGGGGAATCAAGTTACAGCCCCCTGTCGGGGTGGAGAACCACATAAAGATACCCCTTGTATCCATCAATGTGTCTTCTTCATGGGTGAAGAGATTTAACACAGAGGTTATGGGAAGGAGAGTTGGGTCCTTCAGTTGAGGGCCACAATTCCTCAGGGACTTTCTGTCGGCACATCTAACTTGGACCTGGGAATGGCTATTGGCTTCTACCCTTGCCTCTGGGGCACCTGTCTAATACAGCATGGAGAAGCTACTCTTGCCTCTAGGGCACCTGGCATTTGAAGAACAAACAGCTGCTGTTGTCCAGTCACTCACATCTGTTACCTGAGGTGGCTAACCCTGGGATGCGATGGCTCAGTGGCTAAGACACTGAGCTTGTTGATCAGAAAGCTTAGCGGTTCGAATCCCTAGTGCTGCATAACGGAGTGAGCTCCCATTACTTGTCCCAGCTTCTGCCAACCTAGCAGTTCAAAGCATGTAAAAAATGCAAGTAGAAAAATAGGAACCACCTTTGGTGGGAAGGTAACAGCGTTCTGGGCACCTTCGGAGTTTAGTCATGTCGGCCACATGACCATGGAGATGTCTTCGGACAGTGCTGGCTCTTCAGCTTTGAAACGAAGATTAGCACCTCCCTCTAGAGTTGGGAACAACTAGCGTATGTGCGAGGGGAAACTTTACCTTTACCTTTTTCAACCCTGGAAAACAGGACCGGAAATCACACTCCAACAATCTTTCTCTGAACCTGAGTTTCCAGCTGACATAGAAAATGGAAAAATAATAATCAACCATTGCAACGTGTATGTGTGTGTGTGTGTGTGTGTGTGTGTGTATCTATATATATGTGGTATTTGTGCTGATATATATATATATATATATATATATATA